CGGAAAATACGGGTATTTTTGAACTTCACAGCAACTGAAGCAAGCTGAGGACAAAAGGGGAGGGAATGAGAAACCGGAACATTTTAAAAACAGCTGCAAAATAATTAAATGGGACTGTTCCTGCCAAATTGGTACAGTTTGAAGGTATAATGGACTGGGCCTGGAGGACCTGAACAGAGAGGTTGAAGACAGGGGGTCTTGGAGATGTCTCATCCACAGAACTGGCATGAATCAAAGTAGACTTGGGGGAACTTTACAACAACAAATGTGTCTTCAAGTCACCTGTTGACTTATATCAACCTCATGAATTTCATTTTTTGTTGTTATTGTTGTGTTCCTTCAAGTCTTTCCAGCTGAGCCTAAGGCAACCCAATCATAGGGTTGTCTTGGTGAGTTTCTTCAGAGTGGGTTTGCCATTGCCATCCTCTCAGGCTGAGAGTGTGTGACTTGCTGAGGGTCACCCAGTGGTTTCCCATGGCCCAGCCAGGATTCGAACGCTGGTCTCTGGAGTTGTATGTATACCTATGTATACATGTTTCATCACTAATTAGCTCCTAGAGTTCAATGGGACTTACTCCAATGTAAGTGTGCTTTTTCTCAGGATTCTCAGTTGCTGAATAAGTGAGTGATGCAAAAGACCCAATCTGGTTTCACTGGCCCTGGATACGGAGTTTCTGATGTGGAAATGTATAGTTTCCACAAATCGTTCTGTTCTTTCTTAAAAGTTACTTTTAAGTTCTTGGAAAATCCAATTGACACTTTGCTGTTGTGTGTCTTCACATCAACTCAGATTAATGGTGACCCTATCCTGTGGTTTTCTTGGCAAGATTTATTCTTGCCATTACCTTCTTAGGCTGAGAGAGTGTGACTTGCTCAAGATCATGCAGTGAATGTTCATGGCTGAGAGGGGATTTAAACCTGGTCTCTCAGAGTCCAACACTGAAACCACCCCACCACACTGACTCACCAAATGACAGTTTGCCTCCTGCTGTTTCACACAGTCCTACTATCCAGAAGGAAGTCTTCCTGTGGCAGTGGCCACATTGAAATAAATGGGAACTGTGCAAGAACAGCTCTTGTTCATTTCAGTGCATTTTCTGCAGAATGTCCCAAAGGAGCATGCCTCTGAAATCCTATTGATTTATTATTCCTCCCCCCTTCCTGCTCTGAATAACACTCCAAACCTACCATTTGAGGCTCCTGCTTTCTTTTTATTTTATTTTATTACAGCTGATGCCTCTGAATCCCAAAGAGATTGTGTGGATTATGTTAAGATGCTGAGGCTGCTCCAGCCTGCCATTTCTGCACCTTTCCCTCTAACCTCTTGTGTGGATATTCTGTACACTGCGATTTGTTTCAGAGGAAACCAGATTGTGTCTGAAAACAAGCTTTCCCCTTTCTAACCGCTCGTGGGGTTACTCCAAACACTGTCGACCCAACTTAATGTAACTCTGGAAAGCAGAGTCTTTGGGGTGGATGGCCGGAGGGACTGCTCCTTTCATCAGAAGGATTAAAAGGCGAAGAAATGATGGGTACTGACCGCTAAGAGAAACTGGTAAATATTACATGTGTTACAACCTCTGGGGGGGAAAGGCAAATAAAAAGGGTCAACGATCTTGTCATACACTGATCCTGCCTTCCATTCTGTATTCTGGAATGTGGGCACCGAGAAAAATTTCAGAGGATGTTCAATTAGAAGTGTGAAGGAACTAAGGATGGACTGACAGAAGGATGGAAGAGGCAAAAAAAGGGAAGAAGAAGCAGAGAGCATCTGACCAGGAAGGCAAGACAACAGAGAGTATGAAGGAGAAAGATTCGCCTCAAAGATTTAAATCAGGGTTGTGTGCACTCACCCACATTGTATATAAAAATGGAAATTGGACCTAAAATTCAACAACCTGTGAACCTCAAGTTTAAAGAAACAAGTTTCTAGTTTTCATGGCTTCCATTCAACGAGAAGGCTGTAACTGTGGGGGGAGAGCCATGCCTGTAAGAAAATCTTTGCAGCCAGAAGCAGTGATGTTAAAGATCTGATCAGTGTCAAGCCTTCACTATGGTGTTCAGGCGCTGCCAAAGCATGATAAACTATAAAACAAGAACATGGGTGAAAATATGTCTGGTCGTATGTAGTTGCAACAGGAGAGCCAGCATTGTGTAGTGGTTTGAGTGTTGGACTATAACTCTGGAGTCCAGGGTTCAAATCCCTGCTCAGTCATGAAAACCCACTGGGTGAATTTGGGCAAGTCACAGTGTCTCACCTTCAGAGGATGGCAATGGCAAACCTCCTCTGAAGAAACTTGCCAAGAAAACTCCATCAGAGGTTCATCTTAGAGTCACCATAAACTGAAATGACTTGAAGGCACACAATGACAACAGTTGGCACAGATTACAAAATGTAGCTTTCCTGGATTCTCATTCATTCTCTGTGTCTGTCTGTCTGTCTGTCATGTCTTAACATACAATACATATAGTACATAGCATACAGGACATACAATCCTACTTTTACTTGATTTACTTTAGTCAAGCTGAGCTCTAACTGGATCATGTTTCGAATGCAAAGCAACCTTGCAACATTTAAAAAATCAACAAAGACACGAGTGTCTCTGAGCATGCCAGAGAGATTTTTTTTCCATCATCAAGTAATAAATACAGTTCAGCTGCATAGACTAAAAGCATGCAAATGCAAATAGATAAATAGGTATCACTTCGGTGAGAAGGTAAATAGTGTTCTGTGCAATCATGCTGGCCACATGATCCCAGAGTAGTCTCTGACAACGCTGGCTCTTCGGCTTAATAATGGAGATGAGCACCCCCCCTTATGGTTGGACATGACCTAACAACATTGTCAACAGGGAATACCTTTACCTTTACCTTTACCTTAAATAGTGGAGACATTAGAGCAGGGGTAGGCAACCTAAGGCCCGGGGGCTGGATGCGGCCCCCCAAGGCCTTTGGACCGGCCCCAGGCCAGTCCTGCCACCGCCGCCGCTGCCGCCCACCATGATGATATTGATTATTGTTGTTATTACTTGTTCTTGGGGTTTTCTTGGCAAAATCTCCACAGGGGTTTTGCCATGGCTTTTCTGGGGCTGAGAGAGTGTGCATGCATATATATTTTTTATTTTTTTATTTAAAAAAAACATTTTTATTTATTTTTGGTGCTTCGGCCCCCCAATTGTCTGAGGGATAGCAACCTGGCCCCCAGCTCAAAAAGCTGCAGAAAATCCCAACAGGGATAGTGGTGAAATCTTTTCCCCTCTCTAAGCTCTAAGCTTTCCTAAGAATTAGGAAAAAATAGGAATTTGGTGGTTTATAAGGAAGGAAGTTCCAGGACTCAAGAAACTGCTTCCATAAATGGGAGAAAGGAGCAGGTCTTCCTATTTTCTGTGAAATAAAGAACTAAGCGGATAAGGATCTTTGGTGAGTGGGTGTTGGGGAGGATATTTATTGGTACAAGGATAGTACCAAAGGCTGGTCAAATTATTTGGCACCTAAAAGGTGGGTGGGAGAAATCCTACAAGCAACTCTTGCTTTTCAGTAAAAATATTACGTATAATGAAAAACTTCAATAATCAAAGGCAAATTGCTATTTCATAACCTGCAAAATCCACTGCTGAGACAGTAACCTTTTCACATAGTGAGGTGTGTGTGCTAGTTACTATCTCCCTCAGGCAGCAAAATGTAGCACCCAGACCCATAACCAGGGGTAGGCAACCTAAGGCCTGGGGGCCAGATGCGGCCCCCTGAGGCCTTTGGACCGGCCCCAGGCCGGTCCTGCCGCCGCCCGCCATGATGATATTGATTATTGTTGTTATTACTTGTTCTTGGGGTTTTCTTGGCAAAATCTCCACAGGGGTTTTGCCATGGCTTTTCTGGGGCTGAGAGATTGTGCATGCATATTATTTATTTATTTATTTATTTATTTATTTATTTATGGTGCTTCGGCCCCCCAATTGTCTGAGGGACAGCAACCCGGCCCCCGGCTCAAAAAGGTTGCCTACCCCTGGCTTTCACACTATCTATCAAGACCAGAGCTACTCTGCTCCTTTTTCCCCAGTGGCTTTTTCTGAAGCCAGACATCACTTAAATATGGATGTGTTCCCCCATGCCCTGATGTAGAATAAGTTTTTGATCTTGAAGTCAAAGATGCCAAGGATAAAGGCAGGGCATGTTGCCTTACACGCTCACTCCACCTCAAGCCAATAGCAACATTCTCCTCCTTCAGACTGAAGGAAAATTGCATTCCTACTCCCCCCTGCCCCCCTACCAGCTGAGATGACTTGTTGAATTGGTCACACATGCTCTTCATGCTCTAATTCTTGGGACTGGATGCATTCCAAGGCTGACACTTGGACCTCCAATACCTCTCTCACTGCTCCCCTCATTCCTCCTGAGCTATGTCCATGATATACAGTTATGGCACTTTGATGCCATTTTAATTGCCATTGCTCCATCCTATAGAATTTTGAGATTTTTAGTTTCGGGAGATAGAATTCTCTGTCAGAGACCTCTAATGCTGTAATTCAGAGGAGTAGACTAGAGGATTATAAGCATTTCACCAAACTAAAAAAATCCAGGATTCTAGAGAATGGAACCATGGCAACTAAACTGGTATCAAACTGTTTTCATGCAATATGGATACAAGGGCCTCATTCTCACTACATTATACCCTGGTTTGCTAACCAGTGAAGTGGTTTAAATGACCCTGGTTCACACTTGAGCCGAATCATTGAAGTGGTTTGGCGAGCCTCCCCACTAGACCCATTTAACGCATGTCTTTTTGATGCTCATTTTTTCTGCGTCTTTTGCAATAAATTGATTCAGTACAAGTGTGAATGGGATGCAAATCAATTTAAATTTGCCCTTTAAATTTGCCAGCCGGCTGAAGTGGGTCCATCCTGAATTGATTCATTAGTCAATGTGAACGACAAGTGGGTTATTTTACAACAAGAAAATGCAATCGGGGCAAATGTAGTGTGAACCACACTCCACTGTTGAACTGATCCATCGATTCAGATAGCAAACTGATTTATTTGTAACTGGAAATTAGGCCAATGTCTAGCTCATATCTAGCTTTCCAGTTCCTCCTCTCTGCCCTGCTCTCTGATCTATGTAACTGAATTGTTTTTAAGTATTATGTTTTAATTCTATCATTGTTTAATTCTGTTTTAAGGGGTGGGAGGGTTTATGGGTTCGGGATTGTATTTTACATTGTACTAGTTTTAATGATGTAAGCCGCCTCGATTGTCTGACAGAGGGGCAGGATATAAATAAAATTTATTATTATTATTATTATTATTATTATTATTATTATTATTATTATTATTACTCCTGTTGTTATCACTGTAACTTGTATCCAATTCTTTGTACAGGAGGGATTCTATGAGCTAACATTAAAGCCAGAAGCTGAGAATTTAGGGTGGCTGTAGTCCAAGGTCTAAATACTGACCCTTGAACCTGTCTCAGATGCCTTGGCCCTTTCACATTACCCAATTATAGTGCTATGATTCCATGTTAACTGCCATGGCTGCATCCTATGGTATCCTAGAATTTGCAGTTTGGGGAGGGGTTTGGAATCCTCCACCAAAGAGTTCTAGTGCCTCCTGAAACTTCAAATCTCAGGACTCCATTGGATGTAGCTATGGCAGTTAAAGTGGAATCTAGTGGTATAAATGTGTAGTGTGGAAATGCCCTTGGCTTCTGAGATAATAATAAAGATGAAATTGTTCCTGAGTATCTGCTGAATGCCTCCCCACATGTCACACTGATGAGCCACTATCCACTTCTCTAAGATTTGGTGGTGATGGTTAGTATTTGAAGGAAAACATAACCAGAGCTCTTTTTGAAGTTTACAATGAAACTACAGTGCATAAAAAGAAATCTGCTGCAGCTAAGGAAATCAATACTTATATCAATGACTCTGGACTTTATCCATCAAATCGCTCAATAACAGGATTATTTTCACATGATGTCACTATTATTGCGCAATTATACTATGAATAAAGTGACAAAATCGCACTGCTTTTTATTCATGAGATTTTTAAGGAAGTGAAGAATGTGCTTATATGATCATAACTACCCAGATTACTTTAATCAAAGAATTGGAGCTAGAACATCTGCTTATGCTCAGATGTACTTAAATGGGGGTTGTAGAACTGGGATATTTAATTTTGAAGCAGTTCTACACAGAGAGAGACACAGACACAAACAGCCAATGCTTGCAGTCGAACTATCTGTGTAAGAAACCATCTACATCCTGAAAAAGAAAAGAAAATACTCCTTCAAACAGTACATGATTAACATGTTCATGTAACATTGCAAGGTGTGGCAATGGCTGCTAGCTTAGATTGCTTTAAAAAAGGGATTACAATTCCCAGTGGCCTTGCTGGCTAGGTGATTCTGGGAGCTGTCCTACAAAAATAACTTTTCCAAGCTTTGACAAATACATGGTTAGTGGCCATACTGGGTGGGGGAGGGGATTCTGGGAGTTGCAATCAAAAAGCAATTTTTTCCAAGCTCTGGCAAATCCAACAAATCAACAACAACTATTAGTTCTGATGATGTCTTAATGGACCCTCCATCTTCCAGGGCAGTATACACTCATTGAGTGTCCATGATAGAGAAAAAGGAGGACAGACTGCCTTCTGCCTTTCCACATTGAAGGCTGAAGTAGGAATTGACCTCATATCTCCTTCCTTCCTTCCTTTCCAGGATTTGGCTGAAAACAGATTAACCCCTTGGAATCCCTTCTCTCCGAGCCCCCTTCCCAACCCCAACCCTCTCTATTTCAAGCTGGTTTTGGATGGCATTAACTGAGCTATGCTAATGGCTTTCCTTCCTGTTCCTCTCTGTTTACGCTGACAAGTATCGGGTTGTGCTCTCCTAGTAACCAGATCTCACTTCCTTCCAGAAGATTAAGAAGTCCTTGCTTGCATAGCCCCTCACTGCCCAAGGATGTTGACAAGGAGCTAAAACTAGTGATGAATATCCCAGGACAGGTTCTTAGATCTTTTGCCTCTCCCTCAGCATGGGACAATATCCTTTTTGCTTCCTCTCCCCTCCAGTGTGATCGAAAGACCTTCCCCATTTGTTTACAGCTGATTTGAGAAAGTTTTAGACTTTTAGCAGCTACTTTTTACTTTTCTCATTGCCTTTAATTTCACTGAATGGTCTTTTTTTAAAATATATCGGAAGAAGCTTCAAGTTGCTTTACCG